TGGACACTGTACACTGGCTCACTTTCACCTAAGATTGGAGAGAAGGAAAACATGCTCTTTCCTCCAGTGTAGTACTCCAAGTACTACACAATGCCAAAACACAAGGGAATCAAAGACAAACCAATCAGATAGAGGTAAGGAAATAAAAAGTTGCTCTATTTTCAAATGGCATGATAGTTCATTTAGAAAACAACAGAGAATCTATAATACAACACCTAAAACTGAGACCAGAAAGTTCACAGGATGCAAGATAAACATGAAAACAAGGTGTATGCATATCATTTAAAGATTAAGGATATAATACAGTCATATTCTATACAATTAAGAAACAAGTACAAAGGAGAATCATGAATCTAGAAGAGGCAATACTTTGTCTTCAAGCTAAAATGAGCTTGACCTAGTGCAAATGGAGACCAAAAGCCCGATTTTTAATTTGTGCAAAAATGTTAGAAGACATAAATACATATATATATATAAATATATTTCTTTAAATTTCTGAGTCTTTGATATGTCTATACAACAATTCATTCTCTTTTCCCTGAAGCTTGAGTGAGACACATGAAAAAGCTATGTTTCATTTAAAGGCATTAATTAATTAAATGATTGAAACTTGAAAAAAATTAATCAAGATGCATTATATTCGTGAGCTACTTGGTTGAATGGCAGCTCCTTTGTACAACTACTTAAAGATAAAATAATAACAATAATAATAATAAATATAATGACACAATTGCTTAACAACACACAAGTCTCCACATAAGAAATACGAGGAGATAGGGGCTGGGAAGGTGGCTCAGTGGTAAAGCACTTGCCTTGCAAGCCTGAGGCCCTGGGTTCAATTCCTCAGCACCACATAAGCAAAAAGAAAAAAGCCGGAAGTGGCACTGTGGCTCGAATGGTAGAGCACTAGCCTTGAGCTGAAGAGCTGAGGGACAGCGCCCAGGCCCAGAGTTCAAGCCCCACTACCGGACCCCCCCCCAAAAAAAATACGAGGAGATGGAGACACTAATTACTGTGATTTGATCAATACACTGTAATATGCAAATATCCCATTGTAACTCCAAGTATATACAGTTACTTGTTAAAGTTGTTTTTAAATGCAAAGAATCTTTAGTGAGGAATCTAACATAATACGTATACAATTTTTCTGTAGGAAACTATATAATATTGACAAAAATTGATGGTATAAATACGATGAATGTAGAGAAACACTGAGTTCATGAATTGAAAAAGAGGTTACCTCTCCCAAAATTAATACAGATATATAATCAATTCCTATCTAAAACCCAATAAAAATTTTCATAGATAGACACAAGTATATTCTAACATTCACATGCAAAGAAAAGTAATTAATCTCATTAAAACATTTGGAAACAAAAAATAAACTGGGAGGAATCATTTAACCTAGTTTTATGATTTACGAATAACTGTAATAATCAATAAGTGATGCTGACAGAAGGAAAGGCAACAAAGACAAATAGAATGTAATAGAGATTAAAAAACAGACCCTTAAAGAAATGCTGACGTGATTTTTGACAAAGATTCAAAAGCTATTTGAAGGAAAGATAGGCATTACACTATGATGCTGTAACAATTGGTTTTGTATAGGCAAAAAATAAAAAACTTAAAAGGATCATTGATTCACTCACATACTATATAAAAGTTAATTTAAAATGAATCCATAAAACTATATAGCTTGTTTTAAAATAGGAAATTGATGTTTTTTATAACAAGGCAAGAGTTTTCAGACCCTAAAAGTATGATCCATAAAAGAAGAGTTAGCAAATTGGACTTCATTAAGATCAAAACTTTTGCTTTAGCAACAGATTAAAAGTTTATAGATAAATTCAACCTTGACATAATGGAAGCTTTTGCAAAGCAGAGGATTAAAAGTTATACAGCGTTGGAGAGAATAGCTGCAAAGCACATGGACAACAGAGGACTGTTGTTTCAAATAAATAGACTCAACCGTAACAGTTCAAAAATAAACAAACAATTGAGTTTAATAATGGACCTAGGACATGAAAAGACTTTTCTCTGAAAGAGATATGCAGATGATAAACCAAATCATGAAAATGTTCATCATTAGATATTAGAGAAATTCAATTTGGAAACACAGTGAGTTATCACTCTACTCCAGTTACAATATTGAAAAGAAATAACATCACCAAATTATGGAACTGATATGAGAAGCCATTGCTTTTGAGAATATAAAATGGGACAGCCCCTCTGGAAAACACTGGCAAGTTCCTAAAAAGCTAAAAATGCAATCTCCATGTAACAAATAGACATTTCTTAAGAGAAATGTAAGGCTATGGCCACACAAACACCTATACACAGACTTTATAGAAGCCTTATGTCCTTCAACAAGTGATGGTAAACCTATGATATATACATATTGTGGAATACCACTGAATAATAAAAAAGTTTAAACTATTGATACCACTGAGTAATAAAAAAGTTTAAACTATTGATACGTGGTACAACTTAGGTATAATTATGCATGCTATATGGTCCACTTACATAACACTTGTGAGACAAATTCTTGACGTGTTACCAGATTCACTTAGAACTCTAAATCCAATTGCCTGGGTACTGAAATTAGAGGTGTGTCCTACTACACCAGCATCATATTCTTGAAGTGACAGAATTAATTTTTTTAATAAGTGAACCAGATTATCAATTGTCAGGGATTGTGAGTTAGGAAGGAAGAGGGAAGTAAGTACTTATGTAAAAGAAAGAGATGAGAGGTTCTGTGGTAATGAAAATATGCTTTATCTTAATTGTATCTAAGTCAAATCTTGATTCTGATAGCAAATTCTAGTTTTATAAAATGTTATTATTAGAGGTCACTGGGTAAAGGGCACATGTCTCTATTATCTCTTTTCCTGAATTTATAATTATCTAAAAAATTAATTCAAACAAAGTATGCTTAAATAACAATAGAATAAAACACAAATAGCATATATTTGTGCAGTTTTTGTTGGCATCTTGCCTAGGGTTTGTTGTTTAAAGGGAAACATGTAATTACATTTGTATTATGTTCTAGTAGCCGTGAATTCTCTGGAACTTAGTTACTTTGGATGAATGCAAGGTTCTTAATACCACTAGTGCTTCAGAGACCATTTAGATAAAAACAGACTACATAGCTGAACCTTCAGGCAAAGATATTTAATGTTAAGAAGTTCATTCTTAAATGGAATGACAGAGTAAGCTTTTAAAGAGGCCCTTTTCAATACGATAGTATTTATTACTCGTTTGTTTTATTTTGAATTAATAATTGCTTTATCAGACCAGGCTGATTTGAGGTGCACTGATAGAATTTGGATCTTTGGGGAAAATGTTAGCCACACATATTCAGAGATATTAGGAATTCCAGACAAGAAGAGAGGAGGACATTCAGGCTGCAGAAGCCATAGCAGGTGGTTTTGGTATTCAGGAACCTTAGCGTATTATTAGATGGGGAGCAGGAAGGCAAAGTTTTGAAGAGATCAAGAATCAGGAGTGAGAACAAGGAGACTGATTTCTGTAAAAGTGTGGAAACTATTTGCCATTTTTACCTGATTTTATCCTTCCAACTTTATATGTAAGAATTTTAAAGTACAGGTTAGATGGCTGTTTTTTTATTTTTCTAATATTTTTTCAAGTATTTGGTCTATTTTAATAGATTGCAATCACAAAGGCAAGGAAGCTCTAAAAATGTGCTAGTAGAATCATTACTGAAAAAGAATGTTAAAAAGTTCTAAGGATGTGGGCAATTTTAGTTTTTAAGCCTTGTGATAGTGATGGATAAAGAAAGGAAACAAGGTGTGTGACTATGAGACTCATCACTGGTCAAATCCCACAAGAAAGTTCGTTGGGTCTGTACTCATTAGATACTGAATCCCCATCTTTCTCTCTGCCCCAGGTGGTTTCTGTTCTACTTTATGAGTATATGTTGCTAGATATCTTATTTAAATGAAATTACACAATATTTGTCCTTTTTTTGTCAGTCATGGGGCTTGGACTCTGGGCCTGAGTGCTGTCCCTCAGTACTTCAGCTCAAGGATAGTTCTCTACCACTTCAGCCACAGCACCACTTCCAAATATTTGTCCTTTTGAGTCTGGATTATTCACTTAGAATAATCTCTTTAAGGTCTCTATACAAGTTATAGCATGTTTCTTGGTGTACTGATTTATGATTTCAAATTCTAGACCAACTGCTTTTAGAGATGTTGCTGAATAATTATTAGGTTCTCTCTTTCACACACTGTTTTTCCTCCTGTAACTATTTTCTAGGTCAATCTATCCTGGTTGCCTCTTAGTTATATTTTAGGATTCAGCTTTGGAGTAATTTCTTTATAGAAAATTGCCTTGAACCAATAAATTAAAGTGAAATCATATATATGTATCCTTATTGCAAACTTCTCACTCAAATCTCATAGATAGATAGATAGATAGATAGATAGATAGATAGATAGATAGATATTTGTGCAGTTCTTGTTGGCTGTTTCTCTAGAGATTTTGTTTTAGATAAAACAAGGATTTATATTTGTATCATGTCCCATGTGAACTATCTGGAACTTAGCTGGTTTGAATGAAAACAAGTCACTTAATACCACTAGTTCTTCAAACTTTGTTATTGCCTGTGCTATAACAGAACAATATATCTAAAACTAATGACCATGCTCAAATTTCTATACTGAGATCAAATGACTATGAAACATTAAATGTTCTAGCATTGGTATTCTCCTATGCACAATGAATAGATGGATTGCTCCCCAAGGTTTCTTTAAGATAACAGTTGGTTTACTTATGTATAATTTTCAACAAAAAATTATCATCTATCTAATACCAATCACTATTATTGCACAAATGTTAACCTGCAAAATAATTTCTAAGTATGTGTTTCTAATTGTCTGAAGAAAATCAGTCAAATATATAAGAGTAAGATGATCAAGGATTAAAGTATGTATTTTACTAAGCATTTACTCATTTCTTATTTATTTTTTTTGCAATAGTCTGATTCCATATAAGATGATGCATGACTGGAAGGAACTGTTTTTTAATGGAAAGCCCATATATGAACAAGTCAGGCCTGGGCTCCCTAGATCTTCTTCAGGAGAACTCATAGAACTGGAGAAAAGAAACCTGCTAGATAGCAATGACTATGAAGAATACAAGGTACATAAAGATATGGAATTAAATTAGAGAGAATGCAACATAATAAATTCTTTTCTCTTTACCATTAATTTTGTAATACTATTTTATTTCAGTTCTACCTAATATATTTGCATTTTGTATTGAGTTTATTTATATTTATAGTGCTTTGTATGTTTTAAGCATCTGTAATATGTTATCTGTTATTTGTAATCTGTTATGTTTTCCCAAAGAACATAAGAACAATCTAAAACTAATCACATATAATACACTGGGCAGATAGATATCCGAATTTTTTTAATTCTCCATTAGCATTTTCATTGTATGAACTCAATACCTTTGATTCAAAGACCATTGTTATGAGGTGTCTTGCTGTATCTTTGTAAATAAGGTATTATTTTTATGAGCAAAATGGAACAGGTGCAAGTTAAGATTTGATCAGCATCATAATTTTGAATTTTTATTGAAAATAGAGCAAAGCATTTTAGACCAAATACATTTTTATGTTTTGTTCAATCAAAATTATTTTATTTTGAAAATAAAATAATTGTGATGTTTAACATACATATATTCTGTATATGTATGTGTGTGTGTGTTTGTATGTGTGTGTAATTAGAAGGTTCCCAGCACAAAGAAATGGTAAGCATGTAAGGAGATGGAAGTGCACACTGTGCTCTACACAACAGCTGTCAGAAGCCTTTGAGATTAGACAGACCACAGATCCATTACTGGCACTGCCAAAGAGTGATTAATCACCCCAAGTGATTAATCTCTCATGTACTAAAAGATATGGTTTCCAAACTTATGAAATGGCAATAATAATGATATGATTGCCTCATTTTATTGTTATAAAATAATGCATTTCTTTCACCACTCACCACTCCCCATATCACTCCTGCCCACCCTTAGAATTGAAGATGTTTAATATTCAATATACATATGTGAAAAATGAAACTAGGGAAACAGAGAGGAAAGGTTGGATTGGGAAAACTGGGAAGAATGTTGTAAGGGTTAATATTGATAAAGATGCATTGTACTTGTAAACTGATATGTTGAACTGAATCTCTTTTGTATAACTAAAAATAATACTTTTCAAGTTGTAGAATTATGGCTGGGAAGGTGGCTCAGTGGTAGAGTGCTTGCCCTGCATGCATGAGGCTCTGGGTTCGATTCCTCAGCACCACATAAACAGAAAAAGCCGGAAGTGGCTCTGTGGCTCAAAATTGTAGAGCACTAGGCTTGAGCTGAAGAGCTCAGGGACAGTGCCCTGGCCCAGAGTTCAGGCCCCAGGACTGACCAGAAAAAAAACAGAATATTTCAAGTTGTAAAATTATAGTTTGGAAGTACATGTTGCTGGTAAAATCAGCCATGGAATATACAGTGATGCATTTCATTAGCAACGTTACTAGATGAGTTCAACAAGAATAGCTAAAGAACAAAAACAAAAGTCCAGTAAAGGTCATTCAACCAAATTATCAGCTGATAATTAGTTAATAATAAATGCTTGTTGTACAATGAATGAAAAATGAATGAATAACAATGAACAGAGAAACATAACTATTACATCGATATTAATGAATGATAAGGTGAAGAAAGAATATGAGATTATAGAGGAAATATTATTTAGGATGGACAAAGACATCAAGGAATACATGTGGATTTTATTTCGCATAGCTTTAATTATTCTTAATAGCTTTAGAATAGTATGTTAATCTAAAGTGTAATGACACGATAAAAGCTTTTGACAATATCAAATTATATTGATACTTCTTTCCATTATAAATTAAGAAATCATGTTAGCTGACAGAGTAAAACATTTAGTTGGTACATTTTTTCTGGTTCATAGAATATTTGTTTCTTAGTTATTACTTAAACAGCTTAATATCCCCTATGGGTTGTTTTTGTTTTTGTAAATGAAAAGGCCTGGTAGGCTACAGCTTAGCAAAGATTTGTATTTCTACCTTCTTTTCTTGCTTGGGAAATGGTTACCACAGGAACATGTCCTACCCACATCCTGAAGCAGCTTGTATGTTTCTTTCTCAGGAAATTGTACAGTTTTGTTAGGAGTTTGTGAATGTCTGGCAGCACAGTTTATGTTGTGTAGAGCTTTGTGCTTGTTTGCTAGAAATGGTTTCCTTAAGGTTTCTGGTGCATGTTTACATGCTTTTTTTCCTTTAGTGAAAAAATGTGTACTCTAACTTTTTTCCATTATTTTCTTCTCTGTTTTTAAGTGTTTGTCTCAAGGAACTTATTCTAAATATTCCTATATATGAATAAAAAATAAATATTTCAACTTGGAAGATATAAATCTGTTGTAAACTGTCTGTAACCAAGATATAGCAGGTCCAAGGTACCCTGGCTCAGATAATAAACATGAGTCCACATTTGTCATTGCTGAATTTGTTCATGATAACTGCATAATGTAGCAGTTAGTCTTCAATAACCTTGCACCCCTAACATACAGTACCCCTAAGTGATACACCCCAGTTGTGAGCCATGCTTTGCAGAGTGTGTGCCCTGCCTGGACTAAGCTATCACTCTTAACACTTAAATAAAACATATTTTGTGTATTACACATTAGATTTATCCAACAAATATTTGACTGTCATTTGTTTGCACTGTTTCCTAACTAATCATATTTTGAATATAAAATACCCACGTGTGAGGAAGCTTTACCCAAGGAATGGTTTTTCTAGAAGTAGTTTGTCTCCTAATTAGTATGTCAGAGCAGCATCATGGACAGATAGATCCCACTGGATGCCCAGGCAATTTCTAATGAGTTCTCCAGTAAAGCCTGGAGAAGGGCCCTGAAAACCCAATGGACCACAAGTGATCCAGCACAACCCCATGTGCAGCCAGTGGTTAGCAATCTTCATTGACTCCTTGGTGCACCACTAACTTCCCCAAGCCCCAAATGCAAGTCCTTCCTCTGGCTCTTACTGGAAAGCAGGTCTTCCTCTCTATGGCACTTTGTTTTAGCTGCTTTCTAGCAGTTACTATTATTTATTATCTATAGCTTCTGCATCCGGAGAATGAATGAGTCACATAACAAAAATACTTTTATTGATTAGTTCTAGGAGCTTGGGGATGGACATATTGGGGAAAAGGTACTATTTTTTAGTTTTTTGTCAGTCATGGGGCTTGAACTCTGGGTCTGGGTGCTGTCCCTCAGCTCTTTATCTCAATGCTAGTGCTCTACCACTTGAGCCACTATGCCACTTCTGGTTTTCTAGTGGTTTATTGGAGATAAGAGTCTCATGGACTTTCCTGGCTGGGGTTGGCTTTGAACTGCAATCCTCAGATCTCAGCCTGCTGAGTAGCTAGGATTACAGACATGAGTCACCAGCGCCTGGCTTACTAGTTTTTAGTTTTTGATGTTTCTGTCTTCTTTTGTTTTTTTTTTATGGTATACTGACATGTATATCTTCAGGAGGGTGGAGGGGGGCACAGAACATAAGGGAAAAAGGTTGAAAAGTGGAGCTCACTGGACACAGATGGAAAGTAAACTATATAACACATAGATGGAGACAGGAGGAAGGGACTAGAAGAGAGTGAGGGAACAGAATACACTGTGTGAAAGGAAATGAACTCATTACCTGACTCATGTAATAGTAATCCCTCTTTACATCACCTTTATAATAACAATAAAGTAAATTAATTAAAAATACTTTAATTCAATCTGACCATATAGAGTCATTTTTATCTTTTGCTATTATTTTCCTAAACAATACAGTATAAAGTATAACTACTTACATAACATTTACATGATGATAGACATTCTAATTAATCTAGAGATGATTTAAAGTATACAGGAAAATGTACATAGGTTATATGGAAATAGCACATCATTTTCTATAAGAGACTTGAACACAATGGATCTTGGAATTCACAAAATTCCAATGGACAGTTGTATTTAATGTAATACTTACAAATTAAAATAAGTTCATAGATTGCCTATGATTTCTCTGTAGATTTCTCTGTAGAGCTCTGTTTTGTATTCCAACAGCTAAGCTGTGGTTAAATTTTTTATTATTAGAAACACATCATCCATGTTATTTAAATTGCTTTGCAATAGTTTTTAAATTGCAGTTATTTTTACTTCTAATGAAAAAAATTAGTGTCCATCACTCATATTTGTTTGCTATTGATTACATAGATTAGAAAGAATTAATTCTGGTTCACTGTATTCTATATGGAAATAGGCAAGATAGAAGACATTTAAGGATTTTCTGAACTTTTTACCCTTGGTTTTCTGGTTTGTGTTCTGTCATTTGGTCAAATACAAGAGACAGCTTCTACACATCTAATTCACTTCAAACATTTGCTCAGATTTCTTATTTGGTATTGTAGACTAGAATACATGACGGTTAAATATAGCAAGAAGGTAATGGCATTGGTAATCTCAAGAAACTTCAACAAATCTTAAGAATCTCTGAATTTTGGTATAAGGCAGGGCTGAAAGCCAGAAACTCTCCCACTCGAAAAGACCCTCCTCCCACAACCACGGTCCAGGACTCAGAGCTTGTCAGCTACAACTTTTGATACACTGGATCTGTACTCATCTTTGAAATAATGCTTAGTGACATGTCTAAGCTTTTTCTGGGGATAGCTTGCCAGTATATGCCTTAGCAATGAAGTAAAGGCAGTCAAAAGGGTGGCAGTTACCATTACTATGAAAGAAGGAATTCTGTGTAGGAAAATTATATGTGAACGTTATAGTTTAAAAAGTTGTACCAGGCTAGGGATGTATCTCAGTGGCAGATAACTTGTCTAGCACGTGTGAAACCGTGGGTTTGATCTCCAGTACCAGAAAGGAAGAAAAGGAAAGAAGAAGGAAGGAACGAAGGAAGGAACGAAGGAAGGAAGGGAGGGAGGGATTAGGTTATACTGCCTACATATTTCCACATTGTGTGACTATACAGAAGTTCTATCTATATCTGCCTGTCCAATTACCTCTGGTTGGGCAATAGCAGAAGATAGATGAATTCAGAATTCAAAGCTTCTGGAAAAGTTGTTTTGTGTAG